TATATATATATATATATATATATATATATATATATACTGTTAAAAAAGCCTCGATAAAAATTATCTACGTTTGAAAGTAATTTGTTACAAAGATAATGAGGCACTTTATATTTTCGACCAATCACTCTATGAATTGCTTCAATTAGCCAACGAACTTTTGTTATTCCGTACTGGGAGTGATTGGATTCATTAGTAGTAGGAATGATCTTACTTTTAAGCCTTAAAGCCTTCTCGAGTTCTTTTTACAATGCGAAAGATTTAATCAACCATAATAATATAAGTTTTTATTTTTAAATCTTTTGAGATGTGCGTTCTATCAGAAAATGTTTTTCATTTACAAATTATTTTCCGTTACATTAAGAAGATATTAAATTGAGAAATAAATCAGTTTATACAATAAAATAACTATTTTTTTTTTTTTTTTTTTTATACCAAATATGCATTTTTTGATAGAACATATTAAATTATATAGGATATTATTTTAGATTCAGGAGATATATGATAAACAATGATTGTGCCTTCCGATAAGGGAGTATTTGTGGAAATTGATTTTGAATTATCCCTCTATATTACAATATCTTACCTCGAGGCATCGTCCTGTACTCGTTCAAATTAAAAATTAGTATAATTATTACTCGTTTAGTAAGAATAAAAATTTATTCACTCAAAAAACACGCATATAATAAAACACGAACTAATAAAAAATTATTTGAAATGTTATTAAATACATAATTAAATTATCTATGAATGAAGTTGTCATTCGAATTTGTCACAGTATGTTACAAAATACGACTAAATATAGCTTAAATATAAAATATTATTCCAATAATTCCAAAATATAGATAATGAATGGATGAATGGATAAATACTTATTATTCATTATTATAAAAATAATGTGTCTTGGTTGATCGAATAATCTATAATCCCAAAAATATTACTTTTTCTAGTCATCATGTATAAAAAAAAATATTTATAATTAATTTATATGATCAGCCACTTTAGATCTAAATTTCTCTTTAAATTATTTTAATTTTTAACATCAAATTATAAGAATTTGAATTATAAGAGTATATAATGTTTAATTAATTAAAATTCATTGCGCCATCATTCCGAATTTGAAGGAAAAATACCTTTAAAATAGATTTTATACATAACTAGATTTATATCTTATAATAATAATTGAAATAATTATTTTTAATAATAAAGTATATTTCCAAGTGAAATTATCTTATGAACCAAGTATTCAGTTATTATTAATAAGAGCAATCGTTTGGAAAATTGTTATAAATCTATAATTAAAGATTTTCCTTAATTTTGTGCAATATATTCTTATGATGGAATTAGTGAGAAAATACATTTTCCCGCTAGTTAATATATCTAACTTTATTAATAATTAGCTACGATACATTAGCAAATACTAAATATTTTGTTCATTACAAAATATCCTTCACACTCTAATACGGCTAATCTATCACAACATATTACAAACGCTACGTTTATCAAAAGAATAAAAAATTGAAAAATTTTTAGCTATACAAGAGTTAAGTTAAGCTTTAGCCGAATATTTATGTCATCACGCATACATTTATATTTTTATAATATAGGATCATGTTTACGTTAAATGAGAATAAATGCAATACGAGTGAAATTTTTTCTGAATTATATTTTTAATTTTAACAATTATATGTTTCAATTTTACTTCGTAAATTCTTCATTCCCGCTCATACGTAAAATTTAAGAATTTATCTTACGCCCTACTATCACGACATAAGAATAATTATTATTGAGGGTTGATACTAACCGTGAGAGTATAAAAAAAAAATTAAATAATTATGCGGGGGTCGCTAATTGAAGCGAAGGATTTTCATTAAAAAGAGTCAGTCGATCGAAACGACGGCATCACGTTATACCGTAAATAAGTAGTGAGTGAGAGAGAGAGAGAGAGAGAGAGAGAGAGAGAGACGGAATCGAGTCACTAAAATTCTTCATCGCGGATAACACGATTTATGAGCGTCGACTTATTATGAGGAGAGGGAGGCGAGAGCACAGGATAATAACGCCCGGCAACTGCTCTCCCAAATAATAGTGAGGCGGGAAGGCAAGAGTGGAGGAGGAGAAATAACGAATAGGACATTCGTAATTTCCGCATATACTGTCGCCAAGTCATTGTCGTGAAATTCATGCTCGTGTATAAGGACACTTAAAGTTCACGGGCCCAATCGCGCTTTCGTATCTCAGACTCTCGTCGTCGTTAGTCAATGAATACTCAAGCGAGACGTAAGTACGCGCGCCAATGCATTATGTGATAGCTCTATTACGCGACGAAGCACCGCGCATCTACATAGGCTCCGATTATGCATGATGTAGCGCATCTTCGTCTGGCATCGCGTCAAAGTGAATTCGAAGAAAGAGCCTGTGAATTATCATACTTTAAATGCTCGCGCGTCGTAC